GAAATAGCTTTCTTTTTTCGTTTTATATTTGAGTGGTATACATTAGATAATGATCTGAGACCATGTACGAAAATAAAAGAGTTTAAAAACAAATTAGTTTCGACAGAAAATACTATAAAAGTATTTAGAACCTACGGTGTGAACAGAAAATATGATCAGATACATTGCCAGTTAAGAAGTGGTTTTTCAGACCTAAATTCTCACCTCCTTAGAAAACGCCTAGTTGGAAGTAATCTCTGTCAATGTGGTGCACAAGAAACAGTGAAACATTTTCTTCTTCATTATCATTTCTTTACTTCTTATCGTACTATGACGATGAATACCATCACCGACTCTATACCACGAAAAATTAGGTTTAATGTTAAAAATCTGCTAAAAAATAGGTTTGAATATAATTAATACTCTGCAAACTATTCTGCTGTTATAAAATATATTGAATACTCAAAACGATTTAACAGCTAACTTACTGTGCATTCTACTTTTTTTTTCTATCTTATCTCCTTTCTTTTTTTTTCTTTTCTTTTTTTTAAAACGATAGTTATTTACTTTGTTGTTATTTCCCTTTTGTCTATGTTGTGTTTCTCCAGATAGCCAAGAACAATGCTTTGCGGTTCCTAACTATCTGTGAGGCTTATTTCAGTTGACTGATATATATACATTAAACTAAACTAAAAACTAATTTCCTTAACAAATGAAATAAAATATTAACGGGTATTCCCGAAATCAATCCCAAACCCAAGAAGAGGCAAGTCACACATCCAGAAAAAAAGTGTTCTTTCAATTGAATCACATGAGCACGTGCAAGACATCAAACCTTGGATGTCGCGGGTAACTCGAAGCTTTCGATAACTTAATACGCTTGTAGTATAGTTCAGTTCAGTGCAAACAACTTGGATCGAAAGAGTTAGATGTCTATCAGTCCACAAGCGATGATAGTAGTTCACTTCTTACTTAAATCTTTATATGCTGCTGGCACATTAAGATCAGAATGAACCCATCCAAACAGTGCATAACCACCAAACTCTGGCGTTGTTACTTGCTTGACAGTTTCTTCTAAACTAAGTCCTTGGTCAATCGCATCTTGCACACTCATCTTTACTGCAGCAAGGTAGTCAATGTGCCACTTGAGATCTTCGCGCTTCATCGCCACGCCATGTCCAGGAATAATGCGCGCATCTGCAGGAAGAAAAGCATGCACTTTCTTCAATGTTTCTAGAGT